TTAGTGATGATGACAGCATTAAGACTGACCAGTTATTGAACTCCAATAATGTGTTGAATTGTATTTAACTAGTCAATTCTTCCAATATCACTACATCAAACCCATTAAATCTCCAGGAGGTCCGCGAACTCCAGCGCCAACTAGACCACAGCCTGAAGCTGGAAGAGTTCCTGAGGACCAAGGGCACGGTGCGGCTGACGGCTGCTGACGCGAAGGCCGAGGCCAAGAGGCTTGAGCAGCAGGAGGAAGAGATGCGGGCTTACAACAACTATGTGAATGTGCTTGATGCTATACGGGTCAGTATCGTTTAAAACAACATAAATACATAGATTATCATCTTCAGTTTATGCAGTCTCCACCGGGAGAACGACCTTCTCCGATTTACCAGAAGCAAATGGAGAATTTGGCCTTCGCTCCATTCGCTGGCCAGATGGGTGTGTGAAGCCTGAAGTTCGCTTATTTGTCCCTTTCTTAGTTGCCTCATCGACATTCACGGGGGTGATCAAGAGTGGGGGTGTTCCTACTCTACTCTGTCGGAACAAAACAGATTTTTCTCGATTGAACACTTAAGAATGTAAATACTTAAGATGGTGCAACTATCTTACTTTAATTTTAACAAATGTCGAAAATCTGTCAAACTTTTTTTGTTTTAGTTACGGTTAAAGTAAGTTGGTGCAAGTCAGCCTTAGACATTATCCGTGCTAATAAACCTTCAACCCTGTAGCAAAATGAACCAAACATTCTTAAAAAAAAACATTTACAACTACATAATTAATTATCATTTCTAGACCATTATCTCCGTGCTAGACCAAAACTATAATTTTCCTTCCAATTTCCATAAAATTCCAGGAGTTCACCGGCGAAGAAGACGTGGACAAGCTGATCCAGGAGTTCACTCGCCGGGAGGAGGAGAACTACGCCCTCTTCAACTACATCAACGAGGTCAACACAGAACTGAAGAACCTGAGCGATAACGTGAGGATACTCCAGGCTAACATTGGTAAGCTGAATCCCTTGCTTCAGTAACGTAAGTGCAATTAATGATTAGACCTCGATAGGAATGAGACAGAAAAGTTATTAAGGCGACCATAGACTGGAAGCCAATAGTAGGCAGGCAAGCGTCCTACCAGG